GGCCCCACTGCTCACTGGCTGAGTGATGACCTTCAGCAGGTCATGGCCCCACTGCTCACTGGCTGAGTGATGACCTTGAGCAGGTCATGGCCCCACTGCTCACTGGCTGAGTGATGACCTTCAGCAGGTCATGCCAGGCCTCGTGTCTCAGGAGCTTTGATTAGATCTTTCTGGGTCTACCTGCTACAACTAGCACACCAAACCCATGATTTGGTGGCTTACTGCTGGGGATGCTGCCTCAGGAGGCTTTTTAAGGACTAAAAGTGGGTACAGGTGGGAGGGACAGGAACGTAGTTCATAGGACACTAATTGCCCTTGTAACTTTCACCACTGAAACCTGCCAATGCAGAGAGAGGCAGGCAAACAGATGCCTGAGAAGGGGAAGGGGTAGAACTTTAGAAACCAAAGTGGTTGAGCATCTCCAGAGCAGAAAACTAGCAAGAGCTCTACATCACAGAGTTGATCAACAGCACAGCAACCCACTTCAAGGCCAAAAAGAAATCAGACATAAGAATGGAAACAGTGCCCACAAGAGGGGCCATTGAATTACACAAACCATTCCCCTAGATTCTGTCAGATTTCCTTGACCTCATCTTACAGGTTTCAAATGACACCCTATAGCCATTCCCAACTCTTTCATGATCCCAAGGCACCTGGAGAAAAAGGACACAGCACAGCCCTACCTTGTGTTGATTTCAGGACTGAGATCTAAACAAACTCAGGTTTTTCGCCTAAAGGCTGGCTTTCAGTCTGTGACCTCTGGTTGACTCCAGTCACCCATCATAGACGCCTGCATAGCCCAGCTAAAGCACTACAGCTCAGTTATCACAACTCGGGCAGAAAACTGTGGCATCTTTGCTGACTCTTATTTTCACCTCATAGGCCACATCCAAGGCATCAGCACATTCTGCAAGTCCTGCCTTCCTCACATTATCTAGAATCTGATCCCTCCTACTAAGTTCCACAGGACTCCGAGCTGCAATCCCCCTGGAGCCACCACTCACATTGTGTATAGGGATGGTATTTCCCAGGATACAACACAACAATTGCAGTCTGCCCTCCTCTTCTGAATAACCATCTCACCGCCCTCATCCTGCACGTCTGTTCTACCAGAAACTAACATGAATCTAAGATACAACTCATCAGCCTAAAACCTCCCATGAATTTCCATGCCAACGTAAATCAAGCAGTACCATGACCCACAGGCCCCACCCACATAACTTGGCCCATACTTCTGAGTTCTCTGCCCTCCTCTTAGTCACTCCCCAGGAAAGGAACACTGTTCTCTGAACTGATCTGTGAATGCCCCATCACCCATCACCCCTTACCCTCTTCCTTCAGCCCAGAAGGCTCTTCTCTCAAATAACTGCATGGCTCCCTTGCTTCATTTAGGGCTCTGCTAAAATGAAAAGCCTCCCTGTCAACTCTTCCAATGCCCCCTCCAGCCATGACTCTGAAATCATTTGACTGTCTCCTCTATTCCTCCCCCATCAGCACATCAACTCCATGAGAGCAAAGACTGGCATCTGATGTGTCTGATCTGTATGTCACTACACTGGCAGCACATACACCAGTGCCTGCCACAGGGTGAGAGCTCAAGCATTGAGGGAATGAGTCCATTTCATACCAGACGTGGACAGTGCACCATTTGACTGGCTGATTAGCCAAATAAAAATGCAAGATACTCAAAAATCCTCCAAGCTACTCCAGTACCTTCTCATCTCTGTCCAAATTTTGCTAAATGCTGGAGTTATGATGCTTCAACACTTTGTTCTACAAGAGAAATTCTTTAAGCTTAACGAATTTGCGAGTCTGCAATGTCACATTACCATCACATTTTGTAGCTTAATTGGCAGATTGTTCTCCCTGAAACCACATACAGGAGATAATTAATCCTCAGCAACTTGCTTTGTGGCTTTCAACATGAAAGGACAAATGAAAAGTTGAGAAAAGCTCTTGGTTAAGAAAATCCAAGGGAGACAGGCTTTGGGCTACCAATTGTCATCTCAGCTCTGCCACCTGGTTGGTCCCACAGGCCTGCTCCAGGGGTCACTTCATCTCAGGGACAGGAAGAAAGGCATATCTAACAATGTTCTTCCATTTGCCACTGGGACAGCAACTGGGAGAAGAGGTGGGGTGTAAAGGCGTCAGCATCCCTGACTGGGAGAAGATACTCAGTCTGCTCAGGCACGTAGCCCTTTTAAGAGCCAGGCCCAAGGGCAGAGCAGGAATGAGTCAGGTAGACTAAGGAATCCTGGCCTGAGATTCCCATGTAGTTGCCATACATCCTAACAGGTGTCAACCCATAACACCAGGGATTGATCTGAAGACCAGGGTAGGGCCATTTCTCAGCAGAACCAGCTTTTTCTGGAAAGCTCAAATACGTCTCTGTCTCACAAGAGTCGACGGTCAGGGATCACACCATTAGCTGCGTTTAACTGGGCTATTACCTGTCCCACTCAGAGCCCCTTGTTACCTGTTCATCCCAGGCAGGTTGCCCCAGAAGTATCGGGCCCTGTGAGCAGCAGACACTTTGATGGCATCGATCATCACTGGATTACACTGCAGGGAGAGAGAAGGCAGCTGCTGGGAGCCTACGTCAGATCAGAGTTCAGATGGCAGCAGGGTGGGGCTTGACCTGGGCAGGTGACGGGGCTGCCTGGCTGTAGAGAAGGCACGGTTCCTGCCAGCCAGGGGATAGACCAATTCCCGTTAAGATTCTGACTGGAGGACATAGCTAGCGCCCTCATGTTAATGGTGGGGAAAGACCAGATAGGACCCGCGGGTTCTGAGAGGGTACACCCTGGGACATGGTGTACTACAGAACGTGCTCTGTAGAGGTGGGAAAAGCAGCTCAAAATTGAAATCTGGCAAACTGAGGTCTTTGTTGTAGGAATGCAATGTTGGCAATACGTCGCTTGTGCCACCATCTGCCAGGTTTGCAGAGTCCAAGGGAACTAGCCAGTTCTATAACCTCTCTAGCAGAACTGCAGCTTTAAAGTTTGGGGGAAAATTAAAGGAGTTAAGTGCATGAAAAGTATTTACTAAGATATTTGATGCCTATTAAGCCTCATAAGGTGGATAATGAACTTGCCTGTGGCCCCCTAAAACAGTTCTTAGAAGAAGGATGAGAAAAAACTTGAGTAAAAAATTTAGTAAAATCTCACGAGGCCTCCAAAAGTAGATGACGGTTTCAGCAGCTCTGACTTCAATGGGTTTGGGGTTCAGTTAGAGATCAAGAGAACCAATCCATCTGATTCCATTACTCTTGGGATCAAGCCACATCTTCCAACAGGAACTCGGAAATCATTCCCAACATTGGAAACACCCACCAAGCCCCACTGCCAGCAGGGCCTTCCACACCCATGTTGTCTTGACAATTGTGACCCTAGGCCCCCTCACCTCCAGGAAGCGAGAGATATCCCTCTTGTCGCCGACCTTCATGGCTACCACATTCTCAAACATCCAGAAGAAGGGCCGGTCGTCACCCTCCTTGGGGCGTGAGTAATTCAGCAGATGGTAGAACTCAAAGAAGAGCCGGCCTGTGCCCTCTGAGCCCACAAAAGAAGACAGCAGAGCCAGGTTCAAACCCTTCAGCCCACCCCTCCATATTGAGACCAATGAGTTCCCAATGATCAACTGACGAGGGCTGATGCCCTACAGTCCCTCTACCTGCAGTCCTCTGGCATGACTAAGGACACAGCCATCAGCAGTGCAATATTTATTAGTATCTCTGGGGACTGAGGATTAACAATGGGGCAAGGATAGAGCCAAAAGCTAAGGTTAGCCAGGAACAAACAGCTCCTTCTCAAGCCATTCCTCCTGGACCAGCACTCAGGTGACATAGGGTCTCTTGGGGCCACCAGAAAGGGATGCTCACCGTACAGGCCTTTCCTGGCAGGGTTCACATTTGAGAGATCATTGCATGGGCTTCCACCAATCACCAAGTCAAAGGGGCCCCATTCTTCAATCTGTGAGAGAAAACCAGTCACTCCTAGGGGAGGGGTGGGTGTGAGGATGGAGGGACAGACAGCCTGGGTTCCAGGTAACCTGTCAAGACACTCACGTTTAGAATCTTTCTTGGTCACCTAAGTCTCCCAACTCTACTTCTAACCCAGGAAAACCTAATGCTCAGGATTCCCTAAGATCTAAATCACTTGGAATGATTTACAAGGTGTGGGTCTTGGCACTACACAGCCTGGTGTGACCACAGGTTCTCTCCTCCCACAACCCTGGGCACGGGGAAGGCGACAACATGGCAGTGAGGGCATGTGGGGCTCGGGGAGTGAAGGAGGGTGGGGGTCATTGCACGGCCCCCAGGACGCAGGCTGCCCTCACGTTTCTCTTTGTGATGTTCCTGACATCATTCACGTATTTGATATTGCCCTCGTGCTTAACAGTTCCAACTGCGATGGACTCTTCACACACTTCTGAGGCGACATACTTCTCCACCTTGATGCCCAATTCTTTGAGGACCAAGTACCCTGTAGGGGGTTGAGGAAACAGAAAATGCACCAAAGGTCATCCTGCCCAGAGCCTCTCCCTCCAGGGATACTAAGTCATCTCCAGAGCTCAGACCAGACCCAGCAAGGACCTGGTAGTCCTCAAGAGAACCCCTGCAGATGGCACAGAAACTGCACACTGGCCACACCAGGCTCACCGGAGCGTGGAGTTTCTCGAAGAAAATACGTATCAACAGGTACAGTCCAGTGGCAGGATCTATTAAAACTGACAGGTGCATAGCCAAGCCCCAGCATGTATGATCCCAGCATAGTCCAACACAGACACACAGACAGGACTCTTCACCAAAACCATGTTTACAAAAGAACTTCATGGTCTGGGAGCCACAGCCAAGGCTCCATCCTCGTATGGGTGACCTGTGCAAACACAAACAGGTCTTTAGGACCCAAGAGAGTGGGTGAAACAAGCAGTTGGCCATGACCTGGGGAGCCACTAAAAGCTGTCAATGTTTTAGGCAAAAGGGGACACCAATGTACACACATAAGTACAAATGATGCTAAGTGCAGAACAGCTCATTTCCATTGCTTCCTGCTCTGGTAAAACAGAGATATTCCTAATAACACATCACAGGGCAGTTTTGAGGATTAGATAAGTTATATCAGGCAAAGCCCCCAGGGGTGATATGCATGTTGGCTATGCTTATTTCAAATCTGGGTGAATGGAAGGGATGATTGGAGGTATTAATAGGAGGAGCTGCCTAATCAATCTCCAATTCCATTGCTTTTGGAACGAAAAGTAATTTTCCAACATACCTGCACGTAATAAAAAATAAAAATGCAACTGCTAAAATATACAAAGACAAAAGAGGGCCAGGTGGGTGAAATGGTGGAGAGGTTTAAGCAGAGAAACAAGCCAGTGGTGTTCTCAGAACAGGTCCCAGGGGTCATTCTTGGCATTGAGGACAGACACCTGGACCAGGTGAGCCTCCTGAGGCGAACTCCAAACTCACCTGTCGCAATTCCATCAAACAGGGACAAGACTCGAATGGGCCGCCTTCGGGCTGCGGGAATCGCAGGGTATAACTTGGGGGCTTCCTGCCAGGTTAAAGAAGGAGGTCATGGAGGTCAAGGTGCAGGGGGAAGGCTCAACCTCTGGGGAGGGGAGGGCTGACCTTCTTCTGAAGGATTCAAACCCTGCGCTGAGATCCCCTCAGGAGCTTTGGCACAGAATGGCCGTTCTACCCTTAGACATGGAACACAGGTGAGACTCTGATACAGATGCACACACAAGACACGTTACCCTACAGGAAAGACCTGGGGCCTCCCTCACAGATCTGTGGAATGGAGCCGAGGAAAATCCACTCCCACTCAAATGTAAGAGTTAAGTCAGGCGTCCCTTCCCTCTTCAGTTCTACTAACTCGGAAGACTTGGTTCGATCTATAACAGTTTTCAGCAGGCCCTTGAAAATCCGTATAATAAGAGGCCAAGGAGGGAAGGCCAAGACACTGGAGAAGCCTGAGAAGTGTACACAGGCCATGTCAACTAGCCGGATCCCTTGAGTCTGAGGCTCGCAGATGCTCATTTGTACAATGGATCTTTCCGTGAACTCTGGCCAACAGACTTCCAGGGTGTTCCAGAACCCTGAAGCTCTGGGGTGGGTGCCGCTGGGTGCAGGAGCCCGTGGCTTACGTATTCCAGCCCCGTGTCGCTGGTGAAGAAGGCCTGCAGGCGCACGTTCCAGTCCCTGCGGCGCCGCAGGACGCCGTGGCAGCGCTGTGGGAGGCACATGTAGCAGCTCCAGGGCTCCTGCAGCTTGGCATGCACCGCTGTGCCCGTGCCCACCAGCACCTCCAGACACTCCACGCAGAAGCACCTGTGCCCAAGGCAGGGAAGGGACGCCTTCGTCATCGCACAGCTCTCCTGCATACACCCCTTCCCCAGGGAGATGACAACCACTGCCTAACACCTTCTGGGGGCCCAGCTGCTCTGCCCCATGGGCTAGAGGGCCCTACAGTGTGGTTTGGGTACACTAACCTCTTCCTCGGATACCTGTGCATCCCCAGTTCACAGGTTCTGCACAGAAAAGCTCTCCAACCCCCCAGAATTGCCAGTCTCCAGGGAGCCTTCCCACACGGCTCTCCACCCACAGACATACCTGTCTGAAGCCCATCCCTACATTCCTGTTCCACTTCAGACATGAGAACCATGGGCCCTGCAGAATACTGGCTCTGGGCCCTGTCCCCAGGTCAATTTGGCTCCCAGTCCCAACGCGGAGATTCCTTCGTGCTGCAGGAATCACGACGTCTAACTCGGGAGGAGCCTCGGGGCCCAGCTGCCGCCTCGCCTGCGGGGCTCTAGGCTCTAAGCTCACCGGCAGCAGCTCGTGTTGCTGCAGAGGAGCAGCTCGCGGCCCTCGCAGCACACGGTGCAGTAGGACTGATAGCCATCGTCATCATACATGTAGAACAGCTCGAGGAACCGGTCCTGGCAGCCAGAGAGAAACGCCCGTGAAATCGGAGAACAGGGACCACCAGGCCCCGCTTGCTCGCTGGCTGAGGCCCTAGGATGCAGCCACAGAACAAGTCACGGGTGGCTTGGTGCACTTTACAGGGACAGCTGACCAGCATCTGCGTGCCACTGCAGATGGCCTCCTCTGCTGCAGCACCGGCCCCCAGCATGAAGGGTGCAGTGATTGGCCCCAGGAGGGCTTCACTAGAGCCTTCCCTAACGCCCACACCCAGGTGCTGACTTCTGGGAAGTACAGGGAAGTGGAGGAGGGAAGGAGCAGGAAAGCCCAGGGTGGGGGTAGGACTTACTCGACACGTCTGGCAGAGCCCACCCTCAAAGAGAGGGTGGAAGGACACGGGGTTTTTCCTACCACAGGACAAACAGCTATCTGTAAGAAAGACAGAGATGCAGCTGTGGCCATTATGGGCCCAACACCAGCTGCTGAAGCCTTGGGTCTAACTGTTCTTGAACATTACTCCATGCTAGTAATTTGCCAAGGATTCTGCACGCTTTGTTCCTTTCAACAATGCTTCAAAGTTGCAGTCCCCATTCCAGAGATGAGGAAAGGACAGCACAATAGCTCTGAGCAGAAGGTACCACAGGACAGGTGAAAGCACGGCCCAGGAGGAAGACCTGGGGCAGAACCCTGGGCAAGGGCCACTCCCGCAGACGGACATGCTTATCTTTAATTTGGGGGACTCTGGGGAATTTGCGTTGAGGCCAATTTGCTGGTTATCTCACGACAGGACTTACCCACAACCAAACCTACACACAGCCATGGCTGCAATTCAGAACCCAGGTCCTTTACTATTAGGCTCTCCTGCCTTCCCTTCATATCAGTAGGTCAAGACTGACCCACATCACTGATGGGTGGGCAGGGCCTTTATAATGCCTGAGACCAAGCACCCCCAGCCAGGAGGCAGACAGATGGGGGAAGGTGTCTTAAGGGATGGGGGGATTATGGGTTAAGGTTCCCAGGACCGTCAGGGACTGCTCCAAACCCAAGCTTTCCCCAGAGCTCTCTGGTGAGGAACTGCTGTGTTGTTTTCCTACTCAACATTGAGTAACCACTCAATAAATATCTGTTGACTGAAGGACATCAGGTGGAGGAAGAAAGGGAGAGTCACTCCTAACTCACACATTCTAAATCCCATTAGATACTTTCTGGGCAGAGTTTCAATCCCAGTGGCAATACCCAGCCAGGGCAAAAGCACCAGAGTTACCTTGAGAGTGACAGTGGTGAAGTGTGTCTGCCTTTGACCTCAAAGCCAGCTCCAGTTCGTTTGGGAAGGCTCAAGAGGTCAGAGCACGGTTTCAGGTTTGGGGTTCTCCTGGTCCAAGGGCCCTTGTTTCATTCTGCCCCCACCCCACCCTTCCTGCTCACCTAGACCAGTGGAAAGATCAGTCTCAGTGAAGTCAGGCAACTCATTCTATAAAATGTAGCTACCAAGATGTCCACACCTGGACCTGAGGTCAAGGCACAGAACTCTGGGTCAACGTCAGCAGAGCGGACAAGCCAGGATAAGGCAGGATTGAGCACTAGCCATGACAAGAAGGGAGGACTACAAGGGAAAGAACAGTACCTTCCAGACTACTCTTGTTGTTGGTAACATCCGAGGCCATTTGCTCTGTGAGAAAAGAGAAGGTGTGCGATGGGGTCAGGGAGACCCTTCCTGATCAACTGAGCCACTCTCCCTTGCTGAGTGGTCCTTACGACCTGCCCAATCCTGCTAATGGGTGATAAGAGTCCCCCAGCCTCCTCGCCCACCATCACCTCGACTTTGGTCCTCTTCTCCGCGGTCTTTGCCATTGTTATAGCAATTGGTCTTGAGGCGCTTGGGTGGGGGGCAGTAGTCGGTGGTGGCTGAGTCATCAGCTGTGCGTCTTCGGGTCTTGTTCTCTGTGAAAGGGAAGGAGATGGCAGCCACAGCTGGGGAGGAGGAGGAAGATGCAGGGAGAATGTGGGCCTGGGACAGGACTATGCTACGCCTGTTGCCAGGTGCATCGGGGCCATGACAGGGGTCCATACTGGGTGTCATACAGCCCCACTATGGGATGTAATTCAAAACCCCTCACATATCTAGCCATGTTCATAGTTTTAAACAGCTATCGATGCAAAAGAATGCATCCTTATAGACCCAGCACAAAACACATCAGACAATGCCTGATCTACAGCTGAAACCCTAAAGCCTTGTCTATGAGGGCCAACACACTAGCCGAGAGCCGCGTGAAGCTACTGAGCACTTGAATGAAATGTGACTTGTGTGACTGAGGAACTGAATTTTACCTTCAACTTTATAATAACGTAAATTTAAAAATTGCCAATTGATTCAACTAATTAGTTCACTTGGAACAATTTGGACATTTGTGAAAATACAGATCTAGTAACTAATGAAAGTTTAGCATCCAAATTGGGATGTGCTCTAAGATATGTAAAACACATGAGATTTTGAAGACTACTACAAGGAAATGTAAAATACCTTAATTTTTTATACTGATTGTTGGAAATGCTAAAATAATGGATATTGGGTTAAATTAAATGTATGATTAATATCAATTTTACCTGTTTTTTACTCTTTTCAATGTGGCCACTAGAAAAAATTTTCAATGTGGCCACTAGAAAAACTGACTACTGTTTATATTTCTTTTTTTTTTTAAAGATTTTATTTATTTATTTTTTCCCCCCAAAGCCCCAGTAGATAGTTGTATGTCATAGTTGCACATCCTTCTAGTTGCTGTATGTGGGACTCGGCCTCAGGATGGACGGAGAAGTGGTGCCTCGGTGCGCGCCCGGGATCCGAACCCGGGCCACCAGCATCAGAGCGCGCGCACTTAACCACCAAGCCACGGGGCCGGCCCATACTGTTTATATTTCTATAAATTCCATTTATATTTTTATTCAATCTATATAGTTTAATCTGCAAGGGATATGATTTAATTTGACTCTGCCCCTAGGAAAGAAAGTTATGTAGCCATTAAAAATCAGAAAGACCCTTTAGTGACAAAATGACATTTGACAGTGCTTATACTATTAATATTGAGAAATAAAAGGAAAGCAGGAATCCAACTAGTGTAGAGAAATAGCTGGACGGATGTGCACACCCAACATGGTTAACCTGGAGGGCAGTTGTGAAGGCTGGGAGGGGAAGGTGGGGTGAGAGTTTAGGTTGACTTTTCCAGTGACCCCTGTATATGCAAAGAAATTGGGGAAAAGTGCAGAAGAAATAGTGCATAGTCAAAAGATGGGAGGGAGTACCGTATTTTCTGGATTCTAAGTTCCCACTGCCTGCTCGACGCACCTTCGACTTATTAACCACTTTTTTGGGGGGAGGGGGAACAAAACAAAACAGAAAACACTACGTTAAATGGATTGTAAGACAAATCCTGGATTTCAGGCATCCTGGATTTCAGGAGAGTGACAGTGTGAAAACAACACACATCTTATAATGGAGAAAATATGGTATTGGTCAAAATGTTAGGAAGTGGCTTATGGTTTGTGGGGTTTTTTAAATCACTTTCCAAGTTTTCTTTTCTTTTTTTTTTTTTTTGTGAGGAGATCAGCCCTGTGCTAACATCTGCCAATCCTCCTCTTTTTTTTTGCTGAGGAAGGCAGGCCCTGGGCTAACATCCGTGCCCATCTTCCTCCACTTTATATGGGACGCTGCCACAGCATGGCTTGCCAAGCAGTCCGTTGGTGCGCACCCGGGATCCAAACCGGTGAACCCCGGGCCGCCGCAGCGGAGCTCACGCACTTAACTGCTTGTGTCACCAGGCCGGTGCCCCCAAGTTTTCTTAATGAGCAGAGCTTAATTGTTTTTGACCTCCTGTTTACTCAAGTTTTCAGAACAGACTCAATTCCAAATTATATGTTCTTGACCTTTAGCAGGAAAGTGACAAGGGAAGTGGGATGTGGCTGGGGTCTTTTCCCACAGTCCCGGGGGTTCATAGGGTGAAAACGTGGAGAGGGGCTCCAGGGCTGACTGGTTGCTGGAAAGCCGGGGTTGGGTGAGGGCTGCCAGGGTGCCTGCATCTCCCAGCAGCAGTGGCAGTGGGGGCTGCCCCAGGGACCCATTCCCACCTGGTTGCTTGTTGTTGGGCTTGAGGCCCTCGACCCCGGTGGGCTTGAAGCCCCCGTGGGCCCACTCCAACATGGGCTTCAGCTGGTCCTCCAACGAGTCTCCGGGGCTGCTGGGGAAAGTCTTGCCAGCCCGCACCCTGGCTTTCTGCCGAGATAAAGGCAAGTTTGTGATGAACAGGAGGGGTGGGTGCTCGCCAGGCCACACCCAGGGATTCCCCTAGCTGGGGCCTGCATTCCCCTCACACTGGGCCCTTTCATAGCCCGGCAGCTGTCCTGGCCTGTGGTATGTGACAGGCAGGAGCGGCCTGTGGTGGGAGGCAGGCAGGAGGCCGTGGGGGAGAGTGACGTCTTCCCACGCAGGACCAAACGTGATGTCTTCCCCGTAGGGCATTTGAGTGGTCACCTCCCTCTTGAAGGGCACAGGATCGGAAGCAGTACCGCCACTTTTAGATACAGGAGAAGCATCAGACAGCCCTGTCTCATCACCTCTGAGGAAGCACCAAATTTCTTGTTTTATTTCCTTAATGAAAATGGGGAGCTGTCAAGTCCTATTTCAGAGGCACCATGAGGAATTACGTGTCTATGAAGCACAGAGGCTGGCTCATAACTGCTGGACAAAGGCCACTCATGTTTTCAGTTCCAAGTCCAGGCGGAGGGAGGGCCAGAGCCTAATGGATCCCAAAGACAAGGCTGGAGGCAGCTGGCCTCAGCTGCTGCCCAGTCTTGGCTTTGACCCACACCTCTCCAAGGAAGGAGGCTCTGTGGACTCTGGAAAAGCTTATTCACTGATATGAACATCATCTCCTACTTCCCAGTGCTCCTCCTTTCTCATTCAATCGGCATTACTGACAGCCAACAGGTGGAAGCTGGGGGCACTGGGAACTCAGGGGGAAGTCTCAAATCCCTCCCTTTCCTTCCCAGTCGGGCCCATCAGGCCACCATCATATTTGCATTCACTTCCTCCCCCGTGGTCCTGTCCTCTCCGTGGTCCATCCTCAGCCATACTGTGGCCTGAGCTGGCTTTTTACAGCTCTCTTGCTTTAACCCTGCTCTCAGGGCCAGGCCCTCGCCACCCAGCACCATGTTACCTCCAGAGCGTGGAACATGGCCTTCCTGTAAGAGACCAGCTTATTGAAGGTCGCCAGGTTAAAGTGCTGGCTGAACAGCCCCAAGGCCATCAGCTTATCTGCAGAGACCTAGAAGAGAAAGACATCATCAATATCCAGCCACAGCCTGTGTCTGGGGTGGCCTGTCTCTCTCACAGGGTTATTCCTAGGGATCAATTTCACAGATTCAAAGGAAGGGAAAAGAAAGAAGTAGAAAATAGCAATGGTACATAGACCCCTGATGCACCCTTATGCCAGAAGCATGGTGGACATGACACTCCACGTGAGCAAGTAGGACACTCCGAATGCATACAATTCGATGCACCCCGTATTGGTGTATATTTTCACAGCAACTGACCCACATGGTCCCCAGTGTGGCCTCTTGCGGCTCACTCTTGACACTCGCTGTGGATGCTCCAACCTTGGGGGTTTTGCATGTGTTCTTCCCTCCTTCACGAGCATGACAAACGGCTATGATTACTATTTAGCCTTTTATTACCTGAGCTAATTTCATGTAAGTGTTTAGAGAACACACCGAGTAAGCACTTTCTAGTTACTGTGGTTTGTTGGTATCTGCCTTCTGTAGGGGCTCAAGGTTCGTATTCTACAAGCCTCATGCCCCAAGTCCCCAGGCCATACATGAACTAATCGGGCTGCTACTAGAAGAGATGAAACTAGGTTTTCAGGGATGCTGATGAGAACGGAAAGACATGCATGATGTTTCACTGTCCAGTGTGTGCTTGCACTCACGCTAACCTCCATTTTACCCCGCTAAGCCTGAGCTCCCATGAGACGGTGTCGTCACCATTGATGAGAAGAAACTGGGACTCAAGGTGGTGCGCACTGAAACACAGGTGCTGCGCCCAGTGCCAAACTGCTCCAGTGCAACATATGGCCTGTAATCCCACCCATAATGCGAACAGCCCACACTTCATCTCATTAGCGTCTGACCCAGTACTGCAAAGCGCCCATTTTACGTCTCACTGGGCCAAAGCAATTACAAACACTCCATGTTTTTTCATTTCACAGAAGTTGTTGCCCACATCCCTGCAATTAGACGCTTCAGCGAGAACCCAGGACCAGGACATTTATCCTTCTGCTCCCTCTGCTGGCCCATGAGGGCATCTGCATGCAGACTCTCCCCTGCACAGGGAGACTCCAGGTCATCTGATTCTTGCCCTTTGGGAACTTCAATATCTTCATGGAAAATGGCCCGGAGGAAGCCCAAATCATGGGAAAACCAGAACCTCAACTTGAGGCCAAATCCCACAAATGTACTAGATGGTCCTTCATTCCCACATCTGCCTCCATCCCAGCCCAGCCTGCTCTGTGGTTCCTCACCCACCCTCTGGACATGCTGAGGACTGGACTAACATTTCAAATAGAGACCATCACAGGAAAAGCATTGTTTACATCATTCAAAACCTGGAGATCTCAGAATGTGCCTTCAACAGGGTATAAAAATCAAAACAGCCTAATTCATGCCCCACACAGCTCTTACCCACAGATGCATCAAGAAAGACGAACTTAAAGTGGCTAATACCAATAATCAAGAAACCCTGGAATCATCACTCTGCAAAGAACTTTCTTATAAATGTCATCAGGCAACCCTAGACCCACCTCTAGGCTCAGTCAGGTACCTCTCCTCCCACCTCTCCAGGGCTAAATGAGGCTCAGACGCAGAGACCACCCCTCCTTCCTGTCTCCTCCAGGCTTCTTCTCCATTAAACACCCTAGAGGGTATCTGCCCAGGTGGCTGCTCTTGACCCCTCAGAATCCAGACTGGTGACTCTGCCCCACAGACATAAAAACCAACAGCGCACAAGTGGCCAGGGATCCAGAGCACCTTCCAGCTCTGTCTCCTGTAAGAGGAGACTCAACTGTGGGCCCCACAAGACCCTATGTATGGGTTTAAGCCAGTTAGTTAACAAGGGAGGTTTTGTCCCTCCTCCTAGACACCCACAGTTAACATAGCCTCATCCATCTGAAAAAAGCAGTCCCAGGCCGTTATCTTAAAAGACAACCACAAAAAGGGAAGGAAAACACTGTGGGTCTGTGGGCCCATGAGAACCTGCCTTGTGCCCTGGACTCACCTCGGAGAACTTGCCGTCACCAAACCACTGGACCCACCGCATGCCGGACATGGCCTGACGCTTGGAGGTGGCCTTCCAGGACACCACCATGGCAGGCCACCAGGAGAATCCCTTGATCTTTCCCCACACGAGGTCTCCTATTCCAAACTCCTTCCCATCCTGGAAGAAAAACCACATGAAGGAATCCCAATGAGACAGACCACCTGGGCCAAGGAAAAATCCTCCCCACCCCACTGCCCCTGAAAACAAGTACCCAGCAGAGCTCCTCAGGAAAATAACCATCAACCACCTCCAATGTTTCATGGTAAATAAAATGAGTGAGAATGGCTTGAAAATAAGGGACAGTGGGTGGGCATGCCTGGGTGTTTGATAGGAACATGTGATTTATATTATGTTAGATCTGTAACATTTAACCTAGTATCTGGGAATGAAAGATGTCAACTGAAAACTCACAGGAAATAAGATCAGAGTAAAAAATAATGACAATCACCTGGATATTCCTACCAGGTGCCTACAGACCATCAAATAGGCTATTATAAAGCCATTAAAATGCAAGAAAAATTTTTGGCCATTTGCACATAAAAAGCTTGCCATAAAATGTGAGATGCCCAGGAAAACAAGCAAGTTATTAAAATATATCTATAGTATGATCTACTCTGAAGTAACGTACATAGAAAAAAGGATTTCTACATGATACATGTACATACATATGCAGCAATGCTCGAGTGAAATAAACAAGCTCAATTGGTTAATTATGATCAAAACAGTAGATGGATTATACAATACAATGGATCTAGTTCTTATTAAGTGAAAAGCCAGTCTACAATTGTATGTATAATATGATGAAAAGAAAATCAGTAATCAGGTGGTAAATTAACTGGTGCTTGAGTTACATCCAGGAGATACGTAGGTAAAGGAAGGACCATTTTGCATATAGAAAATGTACTTGGAGAATGAATTGAAATATTAAGGTAAAATGACAAAAATCATAGAAATAATAGTCACCTCTGGGTAGCTGTTTTCTTTTCCCTATGGGTGGCTGTTTTCTTTTCCCTATAGTATTCAGCCCTTCCTTGTGGTACCTGATATTCGGTGCTGTCTGCATCTCTACCGTCTGCGTCCACCTGTGGGGACTCTAAGCTCTCCTGCTGGCTGTCCTGGGACAGGCGGGCGTAGGGAGTACTGCTGCTCTGGGGGACCACATCGTCATCTGTGAGGTCGATGGTGAGGTAGGGGCTGGTAGGGGACGGCCACGGTGTGCCTGCTGATGATGTGGTCCGCCGCCTTAGGGACTGTGGACAGAAGGACACATAGCTTGGACTACAGCAAACCAGGTGGGTGACCAGTGGTACCCCCAATTGCTTCCCAGGTAAACATAAAGAGTGAAAATGTAAGTTAAGGAGAACACAGACCACAAAGGATGGTTTTCCAGGAACAAGTATCCCTTAAGTGGTGAGAGAAAGCAACTTCCATCAGAACAGAAACAGAATTGAGGACAAAGGCGTAATAATGATAGATGATGCTGAGAGGCTCCAAGAGCCAAGCTCAGAGAGGGCCACTGGTTTCCTTAAGTGCTTACTGTGTGCCCAACCCTGCAACAGGAGTGGAGAGTTGCTGTAAGCCCTGGGGTTGCCTCAAGACAGTCAGTGAAGGTACTAGGGAGACAAGACAGTTCTGGAAGTCAGTGGTTTCGAGCTCATTTTCGAGGAGGGGTAAGAACCCAGTCAACAGGGAATTCTTGCATTCCCACCACAGTTCCATCCAGGATCAGGCCAGGAGAGAAGTCATCAGGCTTAAGAGAAGCTTACCCAGCTGCCTGGACAGAAAGGAAAGGCAAGACCCTGAAAAGGAGATACGTGAAGAAGAGAAGCAGGTAATACACTGGCCAGTGTCGGGGGCGTGGTGAGAGAGGCAGACCTTCCAATAAGAGACTGGGGGCAGGGGTCTGAGCGTCCGGGGAACAAACCCTGGTAGCTGAGAACTCCACGGGGGACTCGTCCACGTGATTGCGGCCCTGCCGGCCTCGGGTGGCACGTAGGGAGGGCCTGTGCCTCTCCCGGCTGGAGGCAAAGCTGTTATTTCGGGTTCGGACCTGGAAGCAAGAAAGGATAGGCACAAGGCCTTCGGTGACTGGAGGCACAGGTCCCAGGCAGGGGGCCAAGAGGACTGAGGAAGCCTCAGGTCAACAGAAGCGAACTTGAGATGGTTAAGTAGGCAGGGACTCTGGACTGGTAACTTCCCACCCAGAAACTCCCCAGTTAGTGGGATAAGGGGGAAGGGTGGCCAGCAGGGCTGCCTGACAATCCACAGCAGAGCCCACTCTGCCTGTCACGGCTGAAACTGGCACCTGCAAGTTGAATTGAAAAATAAAATCCAAGTTTACTCTAAATCAAACATTTTTTTTCCAGAAAGCATTAAAACAATTGTTGTGTTCTTCAGGAAGGAACTGGATCATTGTGATGGATGAGAAGCCCTTAGGCTTCCTCAAAATGGCAAGAACTTGAGTGTTGCAGACACGTGTTCAAATCCTGCACACAAGAGTTAATGTTTAACCTTGGGTAAGTTACTGGAATCTTCTGTCATCTGTAAAAAGGGGATGAGATATCTCGTATGCTGTGTGAGATGATAAACTGCACCTGCAATGGTCATCAAGTATCTGCCTGCTGTCTAACAGGCTGAGTGACCATGAGCAATAATTGCCTTCCCATTTGCAGTCAAACTTGAAGTCACAGAATCCACCTACAGAAGTGACTCCCAAAGGTAACTGGCAGCTGAGCCATCCACCTGCAAACTCTACACTCTTGGGCATTTCCAAGAGTGTTCAGAACTGTCATGTTAAAGAAAACCTTCACAATGATAGTTCATGAGCCTTGCTGACGCTTCCCAATCTCAAAATGTTTTATTCATCTCTTTCTTCCAAGTTCCCCCAGGGAGATCTAAGACATGTTTTGTTTTGTTTTTTAATAGATAAGGCATTTTATTTTATTTTGTGAGGAAGATTGGCTCTGAGCTAACATCTGTTGCCAATCCTCTTTTTGCTTGAGGAAGATGAGCCCTGAGCTAACATCTGTGCCCATTTTCTATTTTACGTGGAACGCTGACACAGCATGGCTTCATGAGTGGTGTGTAGGTCTGCACCCGGGATCTGAACCTGTGAACCCCAGGCTGCTGAAGCGGAGTGCCTGAACTTAATCACTATGCCACCGGGCCGACCCCAAGACATGTTTTTTTACACAAGCCTATGAGTGGTTGGAGGTGCCTTCACTGGGTGGCGGGGACTTACAGCTGGGCTTTCAGACCGAGTCCTGGTTTCACGGAAGAGTTTTGGCATCACTGGCGTGTCGGAACCATCTCCATCTTCCCCTTCATCTCCGTCACCCGTCAGATCCTATGTAAATGAAACATTGTGAATTTGAGGATGTTAATTAAGAGGTCATATAACCAAAATAGTTTAAAAATGAAGAGTCAATCATATTGAAAACAATCATAATATTGGTCCAAGTGACCTAAAAATATTTAACTACCTCATTTTGTTCCAAAAAGATTTTAGAATGGCTCATCTTGGGATCATGAATTCAAGACATGATTAAAAGATAAAACTCCAGTGGAATCAGAAAACCAAAGAAATGGTGTGAATGCAACATGCATTGTGAAGGCTTCTGTGTCTACACCTCTGTTAGATGGATTTGCTATGCCTGGAATGGAGATCTGGTCAATTTTCACAATCAAGAGTGTCCTCGAGAAATCATAGGCCAACTGCTCCAGGGAGATGCTTCTTGATACAATGCTTCTTGATGACCAGGAAGAAAACCCACCAACTCTGCATCAAGTCATGAAGACCCCCTAGCGCACGTCCATGCCACGCACCAAAACCCAACAAAAACTGGGCACAAAAATTAGAGTGGTGGTGAGCGGCAGGGGGTCTGCCAGCAGGGTTAAGAACTTGACTTTTCACTTGCCAACTAACTGTGTGGCCTTGAGTGAATCCCTTCCTCTTTAAAATTGGAACATCCATACTTCCCTTATAGCACAAGAGGGTTATAGTGAGAATCAAATAATGCACACTCAGCCCAAGGCCAGGCACAGAATTCAACAGCTGTCCTGATTCTCAGACCCAGCACTGTGTCAATTCTCCACTCAGCTCTGCCTCCCCACCATCTGGGCACCTGCTGGTTGCCCTCCACCGGAAGAAGCTGTACGAGGGTAAGTTTTCATTTGTTGGTGATTTAATGTCCATGACTTTGTCCCCATGCCCGACACTGGTTCTTTGAGAAAAGTAACCAAATTGACAAAACTCGAGTATGATCAATAACAAAATGTAAGGCATAAATGATGTCAGGGATAAAAAAGTTACAGAAAAACTGTAACTTGAAAAAAACCTCATCATGTAGAAACCTTAATATTGCAACAAGTGTTAAATGTGATTGTTAAACCCCTAAAATAAGTCAGGCAAGTTCTTTCCAATGTGCAAAAAAAAAAATTCCTTGCGGCCACATAACCCCTATATGAAAGCCAGACACAGATTACAAGAAATAAAATCATACATCCATTTTATTCATGAAAAGACGCTAAAGTAAATCAAATTCAAAACATACCATGACCAGGTTGGACTCATTCCAGGAATAAAAGGACAGTTTGCTACATTAGAAACTTATCAATGTAATTGATCATCCAGATTGAGAAAAAAATAGTTTCAAAATATGCGCAGGAAGCATCTAGCAAAATAATTTAGTAAAATAAATGTTTATGACAAAAAAAAAAAAAACTGGCGTATGACAACAGCAAATGCCATCCTAGGTGAGGTTGTTGGAAGCCCCCTGTGTGCCCAGCAGTGTTGAAATTCGTCATTTGACAAGTATTTATAGGGTACCAGCTTAGTGGGCCCGGTTCCCCATTTAATGAAAGCTAAAGGGAATTCCCATGAACCCTGATAAAGGGTGAGTAGAGCCCGTACCTGAGTATAACTTAGCAGGCTGGAGACCTCCCTCTTGGACAGTCGTGAGCTTGATCTTCGGCCTGTGGAGGAAAGAAGCCGAGTCTGTTTTGAGGAAGGGGCAGCGCCAGGCTGGGCGGCAGCCATGTCTTCCCTTGCTGACAGGGTGTCCTATGTGGCCTCCTCTGGGCTGTGGCCTTGGATCTCCCTATATCCACCTGCATCCTCAGGGGCTAACTCCCAGCCCCTCAGGACCTGTAGTCCCCTCAATGTATTCATAAGACAACAGGGCAGGAGGCAAGGCACATAATAGGACCCAAAACAGTACAGAAGGTACTCATGAGGGAAGGCATCCAATTCCTTCCAGAACTGTGCTGCCCAATTCAGTGGCCACTGACTATGCTTAAATGGACTATCCAGTCCCTGTCACATCAGCCACATTTCAAGCACGCACATGTGGCCAGCGGCTGTTGTTGTGAACAATGCAGAAAGAGAACACTTGCACCCACACAGAAAGTTCTATTGGACAGCACAGCTCTAGTTCTCAAGAACAGGATGGGACAATACAGGGCTTTCCAAACCAGCTGGGTCAGAGAAATCTCAGTGGGGAGGATCCCAGGTGATCTAATCTGGGAACTGCCCAGGGAAGGAACAAGCCTCAGAGCTCCCTGCCTGTCTTTCTTCCCACATAATCACAGCCCCAGCTGCGGGGGAGAGGGGTCCCACTGCACCAGGGCCAAAGACCTCAGCCTATGCTGTGACCACCCCCATCATGACTAGAAAAGGACAGGGATCATCACCTTGGGGTCGCCTCTTCAGGAGTCCCAGCTGAGGTGAGAGAGTAGGGAGGCCAGGGGCTGTGGGCAGGGATGCGAAAGGGGCTTGGCTCTGCCTACCTCCTCTTCCCTTCCCTGGGGGATGAGGCAGAGGCTGTCAGAGACCAGACCCTCTCCCCACAACCGGACTGGAGCCTGCTGGGAGGCACATGTCCCAGCTGTGGTCCGCAGTGCCTGCCCCCCCTCCTCCCCACAGGCCCGGCCACCTCTGATCTCCGGGGTGCCGATAGCCTCCAGGACCGGGGGTGAGGGCGCGTCCTTTGAATCAGAAGACTGGTCGCTGCAGCCCCCATTGGTGATGATGGAGTCTTCCCTCCCGCTGGCGTCCTCCTCTCTGTTGAGTTGCCTGGTGTCTCCCTTCATTGTTTCCTGTGGGAGGGCCAGAATAGATAGGGCAGCAGGAAGACAAGGGCACGAGGGGGCAGCACACCCGCAAACCTCCCAGAAATGGCTCTATGTCCTCAGGCCAAGGGAGGCCCCATGACTCATTCTCGAGGTGACCCTCCTGCCAAAGGACCCCGCCCAGGCTGCCCCCCATAGCCTGCCCCCCTCACCAAACTCGGAGGCTCAGGACTTGGTTCCATGTGGCCAGGCGGCCCAAAGGCTCAGATGCCAGCACCCAGGACAGAGGAGGGGGCTGGGCCGGGGTCTGAGGCTCAGGCTGCTCTGTGCAATTAGCCGGCCACTTCAAACAATGCCATTTAGGACCCGTCTGCCCCGGCCGGCCTGCCTGCCGCCAGCCTTGGTCCCCTCTGCCCCTGGCCCCCTCTCCCTGCCCAGCCTCCGCAGGGCCTCAGGAAGCCAGTGCATTATTTTCCCTCCTGACCCCTTTGTTTGCTCTCTCCCTTCCCCTCAATCTCCAGGTCCTCTTCCCACCCGCCCCCTCCTCCCCCACAGAACAGCTTCTCTCCTCTCCATGGCAGCACAAGCCCCGCCCCACCCCAACCTCCAGGGCCCATTGGTCTGCTGGCCTGTCGCTCACTCCCCTCCTCCCTCACCAGCTGGGGCTCAGAGTCCCAAGTTTCCAAGAAGGGAAGGGATGAAGGCGGCACAGGCAAGGATGGGGCAGTTAACAAGAGGCATGCTCCTGGTCTGCTCCAGCCTCATCCTACCTCTGGGCCTTTGTCTCCCCACTGCTGCCCCTCCTGGTAACTGCATCATCACTAGGCTATTGGGCTAAGACCAGTTCAGGCCACTGATGGGTTGGAGGGTTGTGGGAGCTTTGACCTGGCCCACTGCCTGCAACATTTGCTGGCTGCAAGAACATCCACCTTTCTCTCATTTATTCCTAACGTGATTGTGGGCCCATTTTATAGAAAAGGAAAACTGACAGACTAGGTAAGTCTCCAAGGTCATAAATCACATCAAAGAGTTGAAGCCAAGGCCAAAATAGAGCCTAGATACAAGGGAAGGCCCCCAGACTCCCATTCCTTAAGTTTCCCCCAAACAGCTCCAAAGGTTACTTGGAGCCACACCCTCCTTGGAACACTGCTTGGGAAAAGCTTCCCCAGCCAATGGCTGCCTATGGGCACTGAGCACTCCCTGCCCCTATACCGCATCTCAGGGACTCACCACCCTAGCCTCCCAGGGTACCTTCTAGAAGCAGCACCTAAGCTATCGGGCTGGGGGCTGCAGTGGTTTGGCAGGCACCACGTCCACCAGGGGGCGCTATGGGGCTCAGTCTGAACAGGCCTGCAGCGCCCCCAGGCGGATTTGCAATGTTGCGTCTGGTCCCAGTTCCATCCTCTGTGCCTGTCCACCGCCCCAAGAGTGGGCGCTGGGCAACTAGACCTCTGCTGTTCCCCATATGGCCCAGGGACCAGCACCCTTGGAATCACCTGGAAGCTGGCTAGAATTGCAGAATCTCAGGCACCATCCCAGACCTACGAATCAGGATCGACATTTTCACAAGATCCTTGGATGATTAATATGCAAGTAAGGGGCTGGCCTGGTGGCGTAGGGGCTGGCCTGGTGGCGTAGGGGCTGGCCTGGTGGCGTAGGGGCTGGCCTGGTGGCGTAGGGGCTGGCCTGGTGGCGTAGCCGTTAAATCCGCATGTTCTGTTAAGTCCACATGTTCTGCTTCCGCGGTCTGAGGTTTGCCTGGTTCTGATCCTGGGGGCGCACGTACTCACCGCTCATCAAGCGGTGCTGAGGCAGCGTCCCATACAGAAAAGCTACAACTCTACAACTATGATACACAACTATGTACTGGGGCTTTGGGGAAAAAAAAAGGAAGATTGGCAACAGATGTTAGCGCAGGGCCAATCTTCCTCAAAAACCATATATATATATATGTATATATGTATATATACCCATGCAAGAGAAAGAATCTGTTCTGTTATTAATGTACAGTCTCACACATAGCACAATGTGGCATTAACTACTCCATGTGGTCCATGGTCTGCGGGTTCAGCTTCTGGTCTGTTTTCTCTCAACGCGTGCTAAGGAATCTCACCAGCCCCAGGGAGAGGTGGGAATGCCTGATCCAGTCTTGTCTGCTGCTTCTCAGCCTGAAGCTCTGACCCAAAGAACAGGCTGGCTGACCTATGGCCAGTTCCTCTGAGGCCAAGGGGCCAGAATCCCAGAAAACTTGGAAAGTGGTTCAAAGTAATAATTAATTTCCAGGGTTTCGCCTCAGGCCAAACCAGTGAACTAAGTAACCTGGGTGGCCTGGCACTGGGTAGGAGGCGGGGCCACAGGGTTCAAGACACCAGGTGCGTCCACGGGGAGAAGGGGCAGACAAGGCTTCTAGTCAGGACCAGGCAGCAGGTCAGAACTCAAATCAAGGGGCATGACTTCCCTCTCATCGGGGCTCAGGGTTCCCTTAGACAGCCCCTAACTGGGTCACTAAGGAGCCTCCCTCATAGACAGGCCCAGGTAGAGCCTGCGGCCCAGACAATCATTAACCACCTCGGGCCTTCCCCCAGAGCCTCAGCAGTGCCAACGTCTCTGCCAGAGTGCCGGATGGACATGTCAGCAAACTACCTTCCCAAAGCCAGATCTCCACATTCAGGAGAAATCTCCTGCCCCTAGAACCAGACCCATGCGCATTGGAGGAAGATTCAGGGAAGGAAACCTACCAGCTGTGTCACCAGCTACCCGGGTGCCCTTGGGTGAGCTAGGCAGGTCAATTACTTCTCCTCCCAGGTGCATAATTCAATATGTGACTCCATAAAAGATTGCTTCTCTGTAGTTTTCATCACCCTGGGGTTGCGATGACCTTAACTAACCTTACTGCCTCACTGCCATGACACACACTGGCATCCAGCACCTGCACCCACGACTGAAATATGCCCAGCTCAGTTCCTCTCCGCCATGCACATTCTACACACAGACCAAGCAAATCTAGCCTCCAGGTGTGTTGCTGCTGTTCCCTCTCCCTGGAAGCTCTCCCCATGTCCCTACCACATGCCTCCTTATTAGTCAGACTTCAAAACCCACAGCTCAAAATCCAGGAAGTCTTCTCCCAGAGGCCTCTGCTCCAGAAAGTAATAATCCGGCCCTTCCCGTGTAGATGTACAAATCCTCTCACCTGATAATAGTCATTTTTTCAGTGTCTACTGGTATATACCAGGCACTCTTCTGAGCTTTGCCTGTATTAATTCATTTAATCCTTAAATATGGTATGTACTATTATCCCTATGTTACAGACTAGCAAACTGAGGCAGAGGTAGGTTAAGCACCATAATACGTGCTTGACCATGTGTTCTGAAGGGCTCACATCAAATCCAGGCAAGTTAAATAAGAAAACAAAAATTTAACTACATGCTATTGGCAACAAGCAGAAATTAGCATCAGGGACTGGTGTGTAATGATCGATACAAATCTCACCTCTTCCAACATCTCAGTTTGGCTTCTAGTGATTCAAGATTGGCAGTTCCCAGATAATGTGGCCTCCAACACAAGCCAACTGTTTTATCTAATGTGATGATTCCAGCGCTGGAGGATAAATGGCTGCCTTACCTCCCTGAAAGAGGTAGCACTTTCCTAAGGGATTGTTCCAGAGGGGCTGACATACTAGCTTTAGAACTGTGCCTTGCCACTCTGCTGTTCTAACAGTCCCCAGGTGCCTACTGCAAGCTAAAGGCAGTACAAACATCTTAGCCCCCACCCCATCCCAAGGCAGGTCCTGTTATCAACCTGCTCAAGAGGCTCAGATAAATTAAGTCACCCAACTACATGACAGCATCAAGACTCCCACTCAGGCAGTCCGGGGCACGTGCCTGTATGTGCTGTGCCTGAGACAAGGCAGAGGAGAATTATAAAGTTATGAACAATGCATCACCCATCCCAGGGACTTCGGGAGCATGATGGCTGAGGGACATGATACTCCAGCTGAGTGTGTACCTTCACAGGAGATGGAGGTCCAACCTCATGATGCGGGGCGAACTTTGACCCTTTCCCAGAGGCTGGGGCCCGGCACATGACTTGGGGGTGGGAAGCAGTGCGGGGTGGGCTCACCCACAAGGTTCTCCCTGCAAGGCCCTGCCTCATTAGTGCAGGGTGCTTGTGTCCTGACTGAACCAGGTCAGACGTGTCCAAATGCAATGTGGCAGACAGAAGGGTGGGGGGCACCCCCAATTAGACTCAGGGAGGATGCCCAGGGGCATCCCCCCAACCCAACTATAAAGCTGAAAAGTGAAGTCACTCCCTTCCTCCAGCCTGGCACCAGCAGCAGAGCTATTTCACAGCATCTTGTAAACGTTAATTGCATTAATTAAACTCACAATGCAGGAAGGGGGGATGTGGGCACGATGGGGAAGTGAGTGGAAGGGCGGGTCAGTCCCCCAGGGCTTAGAGATTTGTTGAAGTAAAAAGGGAGAGGTTGAAAGATATTCCTACCTCCCCTATTTTAAAAACTCCCTTCTTCTCCACAGCCTGTGGGAGGGAAATTGAGACCCCTGAATCCTCACATTCAACTACTCCAGTCTTAGCAGTTCTCACTGTCCAAGATTCCAAAATAGCTGAAATGGAGCAATTACTATGTACTTCACAAAAACACAGAGCAACTCTTACAAAGCCCCATTTTGCAGATGAGTAAACGGAAGCTCAGAGGAAGCAGATCAGCAGATCCCTTGCCCAAGCACACACAGCAACTAAGTTACGGAGATTTAGGCCTAATCCAGGAGACAGATCTTAAAGACATCTTAAAAACAATGTGCTAAGTATAGTTATAAAAGTTAAGTCCAAGGAGGGACACCTCGCCCAGGTGAGTGGAGAGGAGGCAGTGGGGATAGCGGGGACACAAAGGCAAGGGGGCTGGAAATAGGGCACCCAGCTGACTGGTGGCAAAGCCCAAGGTCCCAGTTCAGTGCCTTTGCCTGAAAAGGAATCTCCACTAAATTCCAGACAAGATCAGATTCATAGGAAAGCAGGGGGAAAAAAGTCCTCAAACGTTTTTCACAAACCCTAGTTTTATCATCTGAGAAATGAAGTGACCTCACCTAATTCCCTGAGTGTTTTTAGTCCTTACGAGCCCAAAGTAGAAGACAAAACCCTGAGACCTGGATTCTCAGGTGTATGCTCGTGTGCCATTCTGCCAGACTCCCCAGCTCTGCCTCACAAACAAAGCATCTCTTCACCCTCAATGGATGATTTAGAAGGTGTTTGGAGAATTGCTCAGTGCAATTCTGTCTGTCAACCACTGTCATCATGTAGTAAAAGCTGGGCCTTGGCATATTTAATAGAATTATCAAAAGAATTGATCTGGGGCCAGCCCGGTGGCGTAGCGGTTAAGTTCGCGCGCTCTGCTTTGGTGGCCCAGGGTCCGCAGGTTCGGATCCTGGGCGCGGATCTATGCACCGCTTATCAAGCCATGCTGTGGCA